GGGCGCCATCTTAGGGCGGGGCGCCATCTTAGGGCGGGGCGCCATCTTAGGGCGGGGCGCCGCGCCTCCCCCTGCCCTGCACCCGGTGACGTTTTATTAGGAAAATTTCTAGTTTTAAGGAAAAAATAAATAAATAAAAGGAAACGGGAAAGGTGCAGGCTGCCGGTAGGATCCCTTATGGCTGGCGCTGGCAGAGCAGTAGCCGTTGCTAAAGCTGCCAGCACCAGCTAACGCTGCCCCTTCRCTTCAACATTAAATCCAGTAGTGATTCCAAATCCATGCTATTCCAAGGCACTTAGTGCAGCTGGCCAGGCCCTTGGGGACATTCCTGCACAAAAAGGATGGGAAGGGGCCRGGCACAAGAGGCAGCAGTGTCCAGCTCCTGTCAGCGCTTCCTTGGARTGGCACCACGCGACACCCCAGAACTTGTTCCCTAAGGAAGGCAGATGCCGGCGCGGCRCGAGGGAAAACCTAACACATGTATTTTTAAAAAGTGCAATGTATTAATAAACGCTTTTTAGATAGTTTGGTCTCGGTTAAGGCTATTACAACAATAACAGTTCTGTAAACCACACAGAGAGTTGTCATGAAAACATTAAAAAAAAAAAATATTAAGGCAACACACATTGACCGAAATTCACCGTTGGTCCTATTACAGTCCCTTGTAAGGCAAATACAAAAAGGCACAGCAACAGAATTGTGGCCATTAACTTCCTGTTCACTCGTGTTTTACTCAACGTAGATTTATATTCTACCTTCTTCGTAGGGCTTTAATTTAAGGTGAGGAATATTACTTGTTTTAAACAACCTTGTTTAATCCTTACAGTATTATACATTTCCCTGACTGCCTTCCTCGCAGTCACCTAAGAGTACGAATGAGGTCACAGCCTTCCCAGGGTTAAAGCCAAAGCTGCAGTCAACTTGAGAAAGAATCCAGACAGCTTAAATATTTCACTTCTCTGTACAGGGAATGTGAGAGTATGGGTCCGAAAACCTCCGTTTTACTTTTGCTGTTGGTTCATATTCGTCCAAAAGTTCCTGAGCGTGGGCCATTGCAGACCCTTGTGCAATGTATACAGAGTGGATTTTATCAGTTCGCCTTGCTGGCTGCTCCCTTCGTCTCACAATTATTTGAGACTCTTCATTAGCTGAAGTCCTGTCCTGGGATTCGGTACACTTGAAAATCCCAGGAGGAAGTTTTATATTTGCTACTGGCATCACTGGAGTTCGACGGGGCACTTTAATCTTGGTCAGCGTTAAAGACGCTCTGCGTCTTGAAGCCAGGGATGCAAGGGAAGAGTTGGAAGAGCCTTGTGAAAGAGCAGGCGCTCTGCAAGTGTCTTTGGCAGGCAGGCTAGAGCTCCGGGCATGGCAGCGTAATCCAGAGAAAGCAGTTCCTTTAAAGAAAAGAAAAAAAGACACTTAGATTTTAAAGACATGCATAAAAAACACTCTTGACACAGCCAGTTGTGACCAGGTAGTGTCTGGTCAACATGGCTGTATGCAGCAAAATATATAATAAAAAAAAATAACAATCCAAAAGTACACACTACCTTAATACTGACCTTCGGTATCCATCCGTCCTGTTCTATCCTCTAGCAGGCTCTCAGTGCTTGCCGAGGTCTCGGAGTCTACATTTTCCTCATCAGAGCCTCTCTGATCAAGCTCAGGTAATCGATAGGTTATATCTTCCCTACATCAAAATACAGACTGTAGCACTCCAGGAGAGAAGGTCTCAGATATGAACAAGTTTAAAGAGCATGTATTTTAGAAGTAAACTTTCCTGCATCTAGTCATTGAGTAACATTTTTCATGGCATTTTCTTTTGTCTACTCCTTTGCATTTTCCTTTCCACCTTCATCAAACTCTACAGAACGTGATTAACTAGACCATTTTGGACAAAAATGTACACTGCTTTACTACCTGTATTACCTCCAAAAGTAAAGGCATGAGCTACAGAGATAAAGGGTTTCCAAAGCTGCAACTTACTTTTCTTCTTTTATTGACTGTATGCGATCAATGAGGATCTCCTTTTCCCGATTATCAGCTTCATTCTCTTCATGCAGGGAGCCTAGTTCTGAGTTGTTGCTGTCGCCTCCTTTGGCCTGTGGGCTTTTATTCTGCAAGACACACTTTGTGTCAAATTTACAGTCAGAGAAAGCTGTGCAAGCCTGGACCATTTGCTAGTTGGAAGGTGAAAGAAATGAACAGGCCAAATGAATGGCTGATGGAATTCATGAAGAGCTGTTAGTTATCCATACAAATGTTTCCAAAGCTAACAGAAAAAAAAAAAAATTGTATTCACCTGTTTTGGGGTGGGATTTAATTTATTTTTAAGTTCTTTTTAAGCATAGTAACTTGATTTGCCAGCCTCTATTTAGTTTTAGTAGTTACAATTAACATTACTACATCTAATACAAATTAAAGTCAGCAAGTCTGTAAAACAACAAAGCCAGGAACATGTCAGAAGCACTACATGCGGTTTAGGGAGGAAGTTGCACCAATACATGCAGTCCTGATTATTCAAAACAACATTTCAAACCAAGTTACAACATGTGCAGTAGTTTTTTTAGTCATGCATAAGAACCATGCACCCTGAACACAGGCAGTGTACATACCAGCACCCCCTCGTAAGGGGAGGAAAACCCAAGTTTTACAGGCCAGAGCTAGAGAGAGATGAAGACCAAATTCACTGTAACATGACTTCTGAGCAGTTTCTTTAAATCAGTATATAAAAAGAAAGCACATTCAATGTAACAGAAGATTATTTATGTCCACCATCCATCTCTAAAGTGTAAGAACTCCTTTGCCATACTACAAGTTCTCTCTTAATTCTACTAATGGAGTTGTAAAGGAGTAGATTTATACCAGTAAGGAAGAGGTTCATTTAGCAAACTGAGGCTCCAGGACAGTTATGCATTTAGCTCTTACCTATAGCTTCGGGCAAGTGCAAATCCCTTTCCTCATYATCTCACCACTGATCTTTGACTTACTGAATGAGATGTATAAGGTAAATAAGTAATATATTCTCTCCCAAGGGCTTAGTGGCATGCTTTCTCCTGGACCATGTGGCTCTGTGACTTACCGTATTCTGCCGGAGCAATGACAGCCGTCGAAAAGCAATGCTCTCCGCTGCTTCCAACTGATTTATTTCATCCATTTTTATCTTGTACTTTCTTATCTGTTCCTTTATCAGCATCTCTACACACCTGGAAAACAGGCCAAGAGATTAACAAGCAGCCTTGCACTGTAGAAGCTCTGGGGACAAGTATGGTGGGATGAGATGCCTCACCAAGGCACCCAAGTACCAAACCCTTTCCTTCTATGCACGTGGCTTGCAGATGTTTGACACACATATGTAGACAGCCCACAGTGAAAGCCTCTCAATATGTGTTTTACAAGGGTAGCACTGCACGGTTACAAGGTAAAGGGTTCACCAAGGCAAGTAAAACAGGACACGGACTGCTACAGCTAATGGCCTCCTCCAAGATAACCAGAGTCTCACACAACACTGGCAAGCAAACAGACATCACGGTTGCTAACTACTGCTGCTCCTCTACCTTTCTTCCCTGTGTTGGCACAGGCTCGTGGATACAGAAAGGTCTTTTAACTGCCTTTTTCAACCTCTGCGTTAAAAAAAGAAAAAAGAAAAAAGGGGCATTTTTCAAGCTCTGTTTTCACTGGAAGCAGGTGCAAGGCCAGCCATGCAGTGCAGGTGGCCAAGGGCTTTCAGAGAGCCACAGCAGGCTGTGAAGGGTCAGGAGGACAAAGGATGAAGGGCAGAACCTTCAAGGAGCAACTCATAAGCAATAATTGAAGGGTTTCCAAGTATGCAGGGGACAGTTTATTTCTATATCTCGCTTTTGAAATAATTACGATTACATTCCAAGTCACATATCATCAATATACATGTATTGATTATGAATCTTAACACTACATCGCAGAGCCTCATTGTCCTGGTCAACATTAGATCTGTGCCATTCAGAACTCTCACACTAACCCCCAACATATCGAGATAGACAAGCATTATCTCACTGCATGCAGCATAAATTTAAGACAGTTGAAAGGACTCAGAGGTGTATAAACTGGCAGCGTTAGCAGAGCCAGAATTTATCACCTCTTAATCCTTGGTTTCTCAACCTGATAGGCACAAGCCTGTAGCAAGCGCAGGTGGTAGTACTGGTCTCCCACTGTATTTCAAAGTGCTACTTTGCAGCAAATTGCCAAAACTTACATGGTTGTTTTTGAAACATCCTTCATGCTGGTTAAAGGGTCAGAGGTATCAGGACAACGCAAGAGACATGGAGCAAAAACAATGGCCAGGGCATTGGGTGACATACGGTTGACATCTTCTATCAAAGCCACTCTGAAATTCAATGTGTAGAGCAAAAAAAAAAAAAAGATTTTTTAAAGTTAGTACTTGCTAGTATAGAAGTAATCTCATAAAACTTTGCCAAAGAGTTCCAAAGACAGATTGGGTACAACAGTTCAGGCAAGTGTTAAAATGAATTTTCACACTCACTAAATAGGTAAAGTTTTATGCATCCCAAAAAGGAACACAAAGCCACTCAGGCTGCCTGGTAAATTGACAGCAGAGAACTGCCAAAAAGAAAAGCTCCTTACTTGACCAGATGGAAGATGAGTCTCTCCAGGGTATTATGATTTGCTTGGGGAAGCTGTTCAAGAACACTATAGATGGCACAGAGTTGCTCCTGTTTTTCTGGTAGTTCTGCATGACGAGAGAAAACACAAGATCATAACTACTGTGTAATCTCMGAACAGTCAACCACTTTCTGAAGTTGTTCCAAACGGAATAAAGTCAGAGCCCACTTTCTCAAAAGCTACTACTATCTTCACTARAATTACCAGAAGTTCAGACTGGATGTTACAGTATCCCAGATGGCATTGCAATTTTCCTCCTATTTCATATGTCAGCAGCAGGCACCAARAGACACACCAAGCTCTATAGTGGTATTTATCCTGCCTAACTCACACTGAAATTAAATGAACCTAAAGGAGATCTGAGTTGGCGGATGCTTAGATGTGATCCAGAATATGAAGGGGAAGAAAAAGCCAATAGAAAGGAAAATACATTTCTAAATCCTACCTACAGCTCGKAGAAAATCATTGTACTGTGCAGATGTCATTAACGGATCTGGTAATTCTCGTAGCCATTGCTTCAGGATCCCCGTAATAGTATGAATAGGATAATTTTCCAGTTTCACTGAATTTGGATCTGAAAAAGAAGATGTTTCATTCCATTTGATGCATCCTACAGGATCCCAGAGAATCATTCCTAGAAGACTCTAAATTCTTTCACCTCTGCYCACAGAATCCAAATAGTAGCTCACAAGAAAAAAAAGTAAATCTGCTGATAGGCACTTATCAGCTATGAAAACATGAACCCCCAAAACATACCCTCCCAAAACCCCCAAACTCTTTTGAAAATACYAGAAAGTGGCTCTGCTTTCATAATGGAAGGGATGCGAAAACTGATAACCAAAAAGGTCTAAAGAGTGGACAATTCTGACCTGTTTGCAGCAACTGTTTCAGCTCCTTCATGCGATTTGCTGATCCTGATTTCCTGTAAATGCCTTCTGTGTAGAGGCCGTGCATCTCTACGTACTCCAGCAGCTTCTCCATGACAATGGGGACCGAATTTCTCTCACTGGTCAGGGAACTCACGCTAACTCCAAAGTGCCGTGGTTCTGCATCTTGTTCATTCTGGAATTGATGCAGGTCAAGCACAGTGAATATTTGTTCCCAAGCTAGAAAATTCAATCATGTTTCATGCTACAATTAACTTATACTTCCAGAAATAAAAGCTGAATGTTTTATTCTAATTTATTCTATCATGATCAAGCCTTTGATCATAAGGCACATGCCCCAATCTGCAGCAGTACGTAAACCTTTAATTTGCACTATATTAAATGTTTCTTTAACAATTTGTTCAACACAGCACACATGCTCTAAAGGAGGAGTTGCTAAATTGTCTTGAAATGTGTTCTTTCTTTACTGAGCAAAAGGGAAGGCATTTTACATGCATCATTTGTGGTAAMAGAGCATATGTTCCCAGATCTACAATGGGATACTTACCTTTTTTCCACAGGATGTGCAGCTGCTCTGGATTTTGGACATGCACTTCTTGTGACAAGTTAACTTGCAAACTAGAGAGAGGAACAATCATCACAAATAGTTCAAATCACATGAAAATGCCAAGTTCCCTGTCCTACTACATAACAGCTCACTAAACACTGCCTGTACCAGCCAAGGCAAAACAAAATCTGTTCATTTTGTGACGTAAGTGGTAAGAATGAGATGTTTTCCACTTACCACTGCAGAGACAGGCCTTCTCCATGGGCCAGATGTAGGATGAGCAGTGCTCACACGACTGCCGAATGCTCACTTGATAGCTTGTGAATACATGACCGTTGTGTTCTTCAATCTAGTGAAAGACAGGGAGAAAATAATGGATTATTTTACATCTTTAGAAATCTACCTACCACATCTTAAAGTTTTCTGCCTTTTTTTTTTTTTTTTGCAATTACAGTTTACAGCCTTGACCTTGCAACCAGATTCCACTCTAGTGTGTAGGTAAGTGATGCAGCAGGAAAAACAGAACTTCAGTACAAAATTAGCTCTTTCAAGAACCTTTTTCTTGGTGCTTGGACAGCATCTAGAACAGAGGTTCTCTGAGAGCAGCTGAAGATGTAGATTATTGAAAAACAAAACAAAAATGTACTCACTGAACGATCTTGTTTTCGTTTCTTCTTCTGAGCTTTGCTTTGCTGCAGTGGGTTACAGAACTGGCATTAATCTTTGCATTTCAAGAATCCCCCCTCGGATTTCCCTACTCAGTTTCTCAGACACTTCTTTACATTTGAGACACTTACACTGCCCCTCCAACTTGCAAAAGAGTTGTCTGAACTCACACTGACTGTGAACTTAAGAGGTAATAAAGCAATTCCATTTCTAAAACCTTCAGAGAACTCTAAGCTTTCAAAAAAGAAAATACTTCACTTTAAGATTCTAAAAATATTAAGAGTAAGATAAAAAGGACAATTACAAAAGGTGTCTCAGCATTTAAAATGTGTAATGTGCAGAAACCATACATGGAAAASCTTCCCAGAGCATGAAGAAGCCTACGGGAAAGCATTCTGAGGGAATATGTGCATCTCACCCTAGGGCAGTATCATTTTTTAATTATCCCACTAAGTCAGTAACAGAGGAAGGTTTATACCTTGTGCTGCTCAGATTCCTCTTTTTTTGCATATCCTCTGGTGAATTCATCCAGAAGAGATTGAAAGAGATTCAAAACCAGCTTGACTTCTTTCTCTTCCCTTTCTTTTGCCAGGTTTGTAACTAGAAGCTGGTAATTTTCCACCAGATCTTTGTAGCCAACATGGATTTGCCCATTCTGGGGAGCAGGGAGAATTATTAATCAGAATCAGAAGTTCAGAGATGGGAAAGCATGCTCAGATTAAAGTAAAATATAACAGCCCACGACAGAAATAACTTAGCACATTTTCCTACTCTGCTGCAGAAGGATACTTGGCAGAGATAAAGTTGAGCTGGAAGAGCAGAAACACTCATGGCTTAGACGATTAAATAGAGTAACAGAAAGAGGCTGAAGACAGTAACATCCAGCCATTTCTAAAAGTTTTAGGGTGAGATAAAGGGAAAAAAGGCAATCTGCTTGCTCAACATTATAACATATTACAGCAGAACTGTAATATGTACACTACAGTGCAGAATTTTTTTTTCAACACTAATATTCAACTTTGAATTCTGTGCCAAGAATTGCATTTGCTCAAGAGCTGTAGGTGAAGAATTTAAATGGTATATATGATTTATTTATTACCTACCAGATTTTCACTTTATTGAGATTTACTACTTACGGGGGCGGAATACATAGTCTTGATATTTCCTCTAAACTTCTCTGTGGCTTCAAAAAACAGACATTCAACACCAGATTTCTGGGAGCGCAAGTCATTGATCTAAAAGACAAATAACATATCCATCAAATTTCATTCAAACAAGTATATCTTGCTGATGTTAAGTTTCAGTCACCGGCTTTATTTCAAACAAGCTTTGTACTTTAAAGTGTAACAGAGACTAACACCTAGAATAATTTTCCGTGGAATTTCAAGGACAGTGAACACTGACCTGAATTTCACCACAATTGAGTGAACTTTACCTTGTTTAGCAGGAACTCATCAAGATGTTTCAGTTCATTGGCATTTGCAATCTCACGGACCATGGGAGCTCGCCAATTCTGAGACACACTTGAGATCTTGCTGATCTTAATAGTTCGGTTCTTCTTCATTTTACTACTCTCCTTTACATGGTGGTCTCCTCCTTGAAGGCGACTTGGCGGTCCAGAAGAAGCTGGGAAAGGAATTAATTTGTATTCTACAGCAGGATGACAGAATTCTGCAGCAACTGTTTCCTCAGTAGCCATATAAAACAATACAGAAATACTGATATTAGAATGTTTTAACAGCCCTTCCCCAACTTCCTGACCATTTGCACATTCTCTATGTCACAGAAACTCACCTTCTGAAAATTTCTGGGATCCTCCCGTTTCCGCAAACAGGACACAAGATACAAAGGACAGGCCATCTCCCTCATCAATCACATCAGGACTCTCCTTCATAATTTTCTTGTCTGTTTTTTTCCCCAAAAGTCTACGCAAAGGGCTTTTAAAAGTAGACCTAAACATAAAGCAGATGCAAGTCTGTCACATGTGTAATGGAACCTGGCTATATTACCAGAAAAGGCTCATTTAACGGTACAGTTAACRCCCAAGACAGGAATAACCTCTACTATAGACATTCACTTGAAAATCCAAGTTGCAGTCAAATGAATACCAGAAAAAAGGAAAGAGAGTCTGAAAGAGCATCTGGATGTTCTGATATTTACTGCAGCARAGCATAGCTTTAATGCACACAGAGAGAGCACATCAGATATTCAAGACCCCACTTCTGGCTCAGGAAGTCCTGGAGCAGCAGCATGCCAGAAGCTGGGGAGCAGTCCAGGGAAACAGCATTGGATGCTTGCTGTGCTCTTAAGCTCTTCTTTGGTGCCCTATTTCTCATTCTAGCTAACTGTCCTAGAGGGACCTTCAATCTGAGCCTGTGTGGAAGCTCTTAAGTTAACAAGAATCATTTTAAAGTCAGGAGTTACATAAGCAAAGGGTTTTTTTTGCCTCCCATCAAATATTCAGATATCATGCTTACAGCAACACRAATATCAAGTTGACCAGCACCAATCACTCACACAGCTGATGCCACATGTGTCTCTCCACAGTCACGCTCTCCAGATGCCCAAGGGGGAAATCTCCCCGTTTCATTTTYTTAAAGGCAGTTCACAGCCCCACACACAACACATACTTAGCATCTATCTGCTGATTCGGCGGCTGGGTGGAAACAGCCAAATCTCCAGTAGCCAAGAGTTCACTGGACTTCTTTTGCAGAGAATGCTTCTTGCTGCCCTTCTCTTCTGCTGTATCTGGTGACTGYTACAGTAGAAAAGAAAAATGACTCAAAAACTATAGAGTGAAACAGATTCTTTAAATGGTTTTATAAAAATGAGTACAGTGAAAAAGTTGCCTGCTCAAGTGGAAACTATCCTTCTTATCTACTAGTTATTACCTAGGTTATTCGTATATCTTTAAACTTTACAGATAACAATAAYTAGCTATACATACGTACATCTTTCCATAGCTTCAGTACCTGATTCACAGCAGCACACTGAGTGAGGGCAGAGAGATCATTTAATGAAGATGAACTCCCCTTCTTTCTGCAAAATTGCAAGACTGGTTTCAGGTTTTATTTTTCATGTAATTCTGCAACCTGTCAATATTCTTAAATATATAAGTAATTTTAAAATAATCCCTGTATAACCCCTGTATCAATGCTACATCTATAGGAAAAAATCCTGATCAATTCTTGCAAGTTTCACTTTCAAATTCAAAATGTACCGGAGAAATAAGAAAAACAGGTTTATTGTATTTCCTGCCATAATTGAGGAATGATGGTTGCAGTCACTAAAACTTTGTAATAAGCAAGACACACAAGACAATAAACTCTAGGCTACTCTTAAATTGAAGTCTTGACTCTCCATTTATCTTTAAATATCCAGAAAACTCTTACATGAAAAAGTCATATTAATTAGGAAGGTGTCCTTACTCTAGCTGATCCTGAGGAGACCGATCCGCACGTGTTCTTTCATCCAAAGACTGACTTAGCAGATCATTGTGACCAGCGTCAGACTGTCTCTTTCCTTTCCACTTCTCTCTCTTGTATTTTAGTTTCTCCGGGTCATCCACGTATCTCTGAATGGGGRAAGACGTGGGACTATCCAGATCTTTGTTTGCCCTCTGAGGTTTGTTTTTATCTGCACAGCGTTCAGTTGGAATTCGGAAGCTCCCAGTAGCAGGTAGGTTATTCTTAAGATCCAGTGCAAGATCTCTCGGCCTTTCAGGGTAGTTAAAGCTTTGGCTGCCTTTTATCTGGTGCTTTTGGTTCTCCTCTATTTTCATTCCCTCAATAGCTTTATGACCTGCTCTTTCCCCTTCTGATTCTGGGAGCTGCTCAGGAATGGAATTACTTCCTTTTATTTCACTGGATAATGGTGGCTCTGAAAGTGCGTTTTCTTCCCCTGGACTTTCATTTTCTTTGCAGCTTTCTTGAATGACAGTATCTTGTGCTGAGGATTTGTCTGACACTTCAACAGCTTCTGGAACCCCTTTAGAAGAGGTTTCTTCCTCCTGGCACGGTAAAGATGGTCCCTCGAAGGAAAACAGGACATGYTTATTCTGTAACTCATTATGTTCCAGCCCCCTCTGCCGGCGAGTTTTACGTTTCTCACGACTGTTTGTTACCTTCTCAGAGACTTCTGTCATGTTCTTCTGGGGTAACGTAGCTTGGTCCGAAATTGAGCTCAGATGTTCAGCTTGCTCATTTTGAGCTTCATCAAGACCCACAGCAGCTTGATCCAGCTCAGACTCGTATTTCACGGACAACTGATCTGTTGCTGGTTCAYTGTCCTCATTCTTGCTCATACCATTCTCTTCATCTTGAACTTCCTGCATTTCTCTCTGCTTTTCTTCGACTTTCTGCTTTTCCATAACCATTTTCTGAAACCTATTAAAAATTTGAAAGATGAATACAGAAAGTGTTTAATGCACAGTCCCAAAGCCAAATACCCCACAGTTTAAATACAGCCTACACAGCCATACAGGCATAGTGCAAAAATACTTCCAGTCCTAGCAYGACTGTATGGGGACTGGTTATTAAGCCTAGCACATGTCAGTGCAGCCCAGCTGGGGACAARGGGCTTAACCAGTCTTCACACACTACTGGCTAGTGTGTGCCTGTAGGTCACTAAACATATCGCACACAAGCTGAATTCAGCAGGCATAGCCAAGCAGCCAGCTAAAAATGACATTTGCACATCATGTTATTCTCTTCTTTACCTCTTACGCTGGAGGTGTCCTCTAACCACAGCTTGTAGGAGACAAACTCTGTTCTTCTGCTGAAGGTAGTATTTTCGTTCCCTGTATCCTCGCCACGCTGCCTGAATATGAGTTGCAGCATTATTCTTCTCCAGTCTTCTCCTAACATAACAGGAACGCCACCAAGCCTAGCATGGGACATTCCTAAAGTTAGCAAGGGGTACTTGAAGGGGAATTTAGACTAATTGAATAATTTTAATTTAGATTAATAGAATAATTTCAGTCAAACATACCTGCAAAACGATGGCTGCTTGCCGTATTCTGAGAAAACGTCTCCTTTCCAACACCATCCTGAGCCAGCTCTGAAGGAGAATGATTTTCCTGATGACTTCTTTGTGTAGTGTATCCTGCAGTTTYTGCCGTTCAGCCTCTTTCATAAAAACCTGCTCAATTATAGGAAAGTTAATTGACAAACAGGTAAGAGATCTTCTAGAGGTATTTACACAAGCTAGAAAATGAGAATGGGAAGATTTATTAATGTTGACAGCAGTTAGTGCTCGCAAGAAGTAACTTTTACTTTGTTTTACTATATCCAAGTACTTGGATGTTTTAAAACACACTTCTATACTTACTGCCTTCAAATCACAAAATCTTTCTAAAATGAAAATATTAACCTTTTTGACAAAAGCTAATAGCAACAATTTCCCAGAAGGAACAACCTGAAGTACAGAAATATCTCTACTCTATAGTCTCTACTCTACTGTAAGAGGACAGGAATCATCAAAAATGACATGACAGAATGACAGAAGAAAAGAGCAAAACACCTATAAGTGAATCACACTAAGTTTGGCAGTAAATATTATTGCTTCTTACAAAAACCAGTAAGTTTTACAGACCTTGGTCTTCCCTATTTGATAGTAGTTTTTGTCCAGTTTTAGTTTACTCAAATAAGCAGAAACGTCTTCCCTAGATGCTTCGGCATTTTTGGGCAGTAGCACCTGAAATTGGTCTATGAATTCCTGTGAAAAGCAGAGAAAGCAAGAGATCAAAGTTAGAAGATAATTCACAAATCCAGAGTTTTAACTAAACATCCAAATTAAGCTTGGCCACCTGAGCTGCAGGAGTTTGAAAGTACTTATTTTTCCCTCCAAATCAAGCTACTTTATCCCATTCTGTAGAACACAGGCTTCTTTCAATCTCAGTTTAATGCTTTAAAAATAACCTCTGTGTGAGGTTATTATAGATGCCTTGCACCACAGTTTAGGCTGATTATTGTCACGATGCAGGCTATGTCAAAACTACAATGAATTTTGACARTTCATTCAGAATGGTCACATCTGTCACAGGAACAGAGACATGAAAGATCCTGTTACACCAGRCTCAGAAGGAATGCATCTTTTTCAACAGCTGTAGATAATCCTGAAAGTTTAACCTATTTCCAGTTGCTTACATACCTGGAATGTGTATTTGGCACTGTAGCCAGATCTTCTGATTCTCACAGTTTCAAGCATGCCCGTATATCTTAACTGCTGAAGCACCAGATTTTCATCAAAAAGCATCTCTTTCTGAAAAAGAACAGAAGTCAACACCTAGTAATTGCCTGAACCGTCTTTTGCCCAGTAGACATTCCACTTTCATATACTGGTTATCTTCCACCTTCATACAGAATGACAGTGAACAAAATATGTTTTAGGGTCTGGAAAACTCAGGGCATCAGCAATCAGATCAACTCCAAAGGTAGTCTTACCTTCTCAGCGTTGGAGCGGATGCAACGGATGAAGAATGGTTCAGCTTTCCCCAGTGTCTCCAATAATTTATTAAGTGAAGTCTGAAAAGAATTATTCAAAAGCGTTTTTTCTTTAGATATCAACATTTTGACAGCAGTACAGCTCTTTGCTTAGAACACAAGGTGTGATACCAAACCTGTTTCATCCAACACAAATTCTATTTTATCCACTATAGAGGCTCTTCTGTATCGCACAGAAAATTCCTGTATTTGTTTCACCTTTTCTCAAGCTAATGAGAAGTGGGATTTGTGTTTGCTGTTACAGTAACACTAGATCTGCATGCAAGGATGAGATTAGTTGTACACAGAACTAACATAAGGATAGTTTATAACTACAGCGTATCTTGATTACAGTAACAAACCTTACTTCAACAAATCCCAAGAGTGAAAAGCATTTCCTTTCAAGCAAAGAACCCCCTAGATGCCACACACACACCCCACGGTCAGTATGGGAAGGGACCTTTAGGGATCACCTAGTCCAACCCTCTGCTCCAGCAGGGACACCCAGAGCAGGTGACACAGGGTGGCATCCAGGTAGGTTTTGAAGACCTCCAGGGAAGGAGACTCCACAGCCTCCCTGGACAGCCTGTTCCAGGGCTCTGTCACCCTCACAGCGAAAAGGTTCTTCCTCATATACAGATGAAGTCCTTGGAAGGTCTGTTTTCATAGGGGTACTTAGATTGCACTCACAAGACATGTACCACCGTATCAGTCACCTACCTGGAACTGCGCGCTTATGCTAGGGGGTTTCTTCTTTTTGTGCAAATGCAAGAGGGATTTGGTAGTTCGATCGTGCAGAGTCATGCTCACTATGAGCTTTAAGGACTTGGAATCCAACAAGTTCTAGGAGAAAGTTTTCATAAAGTACATGTCATGCAAGAGAAACTATTTCCATCTATGTGAACATTAATAAGAAGAAAGTCAACCAGTTAGCTCCACAATCAGTGGCACAGTATACTTCATGATTTGGTATTTCACACCAAAACTTCTCCTCAAGAGTGAAAACTTTTCACTGTCCCATCCCATGGATGCAAGGGGAACAAGAGAGTTACTATGTTTGCTCTTCATGACTTGACTAGAATAGTTTTACATATTTATGCCATCTTTATCTAGTCTAAATGAACTGATGTCCCAATTTAGAACAGCATTTCTTTTGTTCAGTTCTTCTTACAAGGATGAACATTTACCTATCCTCTGGATTCTCAAAAGGGAAGTTCCCCRTACTATGGAGCAGCATTTTCTGAAGTCAGTTTTGTCAGTCAAAATCAATGCTCACAGTGCAGAAACACAAGAAACGAGAGAAATTAAGTTATTTGAGTATCATTACCTTGGGAGTGATCTGCTTTTGTTTGATACCTCTACTTTTCCTGTTAAAATATTAAAAATCATTTAGGAAAAAGAACACATGATTTTTGGTTATTCCAGTAAGTCACAGGTTGGTGCAATTTATGAGGCAAGATGAAGGATAGAAGAAAATGAGCAAAACATCACTGGGGTATATTCATGCACAAAYTGTCTGAGATGTGATCAATGCAAGAAATGTAAACTGCTTCGCAATTATTTTTCCTTTTAATAAACAATGAAGGTGCTGCAAGTCTTCAGAAATAAAACACTGTATCTGAAGGCAAAGCTGCTAAGAACTACAGTTGCAGAGCCTGTTTTTTTTTTTGTGGCTAAGAACTATAGTTGCAAAGCCTGTTTTTTTTTTTTTTTTTTTTTGTGAAAGTTATTATTCTATTTAGCCAACTGTAGAGTCACTGAAATCTCTCCATATTAAGGCACTATCAAGTAAAAACACTTGACCTGAACTTCTTGAGGCAATATAAAATCTCAGGCACGGCTCCAATCCACACAGATAAAACCTCAAGTTGTCAGAAACAAGGTTGTTTTCACATCCTCCTAAACCTAAGTTCACATCCTCCTAAACCTAAGCGTGTCAACTCCTTAACATAAGGCATGTTTCACGCAGCACACTATTGATTTTTCACATTTATACCAACAAACTTGTACTACATTCTTGAGTTTTACAGCAAATTTACATGAAAAGCAGGCTTAGTCATCAGCAAATGCAAAGGAGGCAACAAAGCATTCTCTACAGGCTTGATATCTTTTGAAGGAAATATATTGCAGTTGTCTTCCTTGGGTTTTGCAGAAGACAAGTTTGGGAACAGAACACGTTTTTTAAACTGAACTAATTAGTTGATTATTGTTGCTCTTTGAAGCAATACTGGCACCAGAACTCACATGAAGTGGGAGCGGTGGTGAAGTCGACTGAGGGACCGAAGCAGCTTACATGGGTCATCACCCTGCCATGGGAGTCCTTTAATACTCGCGATGATTTGTTCATGCATGTCTCTAAAATGATTCACAGCAAAACACAGATGGCAAACAAAGATACACAGCCACGAGGGAGAAAAGAGGAGTTATAAAACAAGAGATCCYATCACCATGTGTGCTCCCAACAGCAGCAGGCCAATCCCAGACTACTTTTTCCTAAAAATGAATTACTGTGATCTCAGGTCAGCATTTCTGCTTTGTTAACACCCTACGCTTTAATATCAGCGTCACGTACTAAGTAATTTTCTAATTCTACCTTTTTGTGTAAATTCTTGAGCCATCAATTTTAAATGCAAACGGAGGAATTTAACAAAATGTACTTAAMATGCAAGGAAACTTTTTGTTAAGTCAAGTAGCCCCTTCAGATAGATAGAGCTTCTTTGTAATCTAGCACTAAGTATTTCCTGAATAGATTGAATGTATCTGAAYACTGCAATGAGGCTGCATAGCAAGCTCACATCAGAAGAGTAGAGTAGAAAGTGCATGTTGCAAAAATCCTTGAAGTTTCATCAAGATACAATTTGATCCTTTATTCCTAATTTATTTACAGATGTTTAGCTTTACAAAGTAAGCCTGGGATGGTCCCTAATTAGTGAAAGATTCCATTTGAAGCATGCACCATGCTTGGGGAGTGTCGTGCCTTGGCACAGAACTTACCTTCTTTACCCTCCAGAGAGGCACAAACCAAAGATAATGGAAGTGTAAGACTCACTTCTGACTGCAAAATGCAATTACCACTCTGAGCTGCTCCGTGAGGCAGCCGCAACATTAATTCAGAGAGTTGCCCGTTTTCCCCAGTATCACTGAACATTTTTAGAACATCAAATTTTTGTGTTAAGATATTGCAAGAGAATTGGTGTGTTAAACTGACCAACCCTTCCATCTGAATTGCATCAGTTCTCAACTGTCACAAGCAGCTGAGACTGTCCAGAACGTAGTAGTTATGAAGTTGTACAAAGTGATTACTTTTTGTTTATTAAACTTCAAGGCTTTGCTTTCACACAGAGCACGCTCAGAAGGCCAGCCTGTCCAGGTATGTGCCTCCCTGGTCTTTAAGTCCAAGCCTATTTCTACTTACTTCTTGCTTTCATAAAAAGAAATGATGTCTTCAAAAGTATTTACATCGAAATCCTCACAACAATCAAATGAGAAATCAAGCACTGAGCAGCTGCAAAAGGAACATGCATAGAACCTAAATACTCCACTGAAAGGCAGGTATGCCAATAGAGAGCAACGTTGGAGCCAGTTCAGGACTTGCCCTGCCTCCTAATCATGCCAGGTGCATATTCCTAGAAACAAGAAGGCTGGAAAAAAAAKGAGTGCTCCTATGAATCCTTCATCATAAAGTGGCTGCACAGGCACTTATGATCCTAACAGCAACTTACACAAAATGTATTCAGAAGGGAGTATTCAGAAGCTCAATGGTGAACAGGATTTGGACTGTGCCACCGGCATTTAGTAGCACTGGATCTTACATAAAGCAGAGCTGAGAGTGGTTTTGATAGTATTAAAAGGGTCAAACAAAACAAGACGGGGAAGAAATAAAACCTGCCATCCTTGTGGAAAGATCTAGCTGATATTTGATACAAGAATATGCGACTCAGCAACCAGGCCATTTTCCCAGCTCATGCGTTGTCAGCCTTGCTATGCTTGGGCATTATCCATAGTTCCATTTTAAAAAGCTGCAAGGTAAGAGATGGATATGCTTTTCTCACCGGTAAACCTTTTCTACTGGTGTATTTGCCCTCTGGAGCTCTCCAAGGGGAACTCGGGGTCCTTGCCGCACCACTCCTATTATAAAACAATCAATAAGTTGCATTTTAACAAAGCTACAATGATAATAGAATTATAACAAGCAAAATATCTCTCCAAGGGCCTGGAGTTTTTCTCCAGTACTTTTGTTATAAAACTAGACTACTCACTTTGTAGTAGCAGGTAATTTCAGAACCTAAATAAGCTGCAGCTGCTCAGAAAAACTTTGCAAATTAAGCTTTCAACTTGAATGCTAATTTGCGTGCTGCTAAACAGCTGCAATAACCTAGTTCTGTCAATACGCACTATCAGTGATACTGTATTTGAAAACATTTCCAGAATGTTTTTCCCACTGTACCTGTGGTTCTCTGGGCTCTCTGTCKCCCGGCTTCTGCAAAGATGGCCATGGCTCGAATAGCCGCCCGCAGAACGGCCCATCGGAAAACAGCGACGGGGTCCATCCCGATCAGCTCCCGAACGTAGGCGCTGTCGCTGCTTCGTAGTAAAGCGACGATATCTGGTCTCATGTAATCCATGTTTTTCTCTCTGAAATCCTGCAGAACGGGAGCATTGAACATGAGATCCCAGCAAAGCAGGTAAACAGGCAAATTCAGAACTGTGTTTTGAGCCGAGAGATTCATCACTGCTCAGAATAATTCATCATTCTAAGTAATTCTCACTACAGTGAGCATTTTATCCATGACTGTAGCAAAAGTATCTCAAATATACCCAACTGAATTAGCCCATTCTCAGCAAGTCTGAGAATCAGCAAGTCTGAGAATCAGCAATTCTCAGCAAGTCTGCTGAGAATACCCACACAAGTCAAAAATTTCTTTCACCATCACCTACTACCACCTACTTTTATCTGGTATTTGACTTTCCCAGCGAAGTGTCGGATGATAAAAGCGGGCTCCATCACTGGGGTTCCAACAAAAAACTTGTTCTCCTCATGCTGCTGTTTGAATTTTGCAAGTAGAGTTTGGTTGGTGGCATGTGGAAAACTGGGAACACAAAAAAAGGGTTAGTTATTCTCCAAATACAGATTAATGAGGTGCAAAATGTCACATGAAGAACAGATATTGATCCTTAAGAGAAAAAACCTTTGTATGAATTAGCACATTTGGTTGCTTCTTGGGCCAAAGGTTCGTACGTGTGCTTTAATACTTTTTTAATTTTTATTTTATTTTTACTTATTTATAATACTTTAATTTTTATTTTAATACTAATTGTACAGTAAAACACAAAAGCAATAATTTCTGAATTTGCTTGAGCCAAAATTCAGTTTTAGCATCGATTTACACTACCACCATATCAAAACCAGTAGAAACAAAAGAGTACAGATCACACTCGGGAGATGACCCTTCCCACAACATTCCTCTTATTTTGCAAGTGCTGTTTTCCCTTCTATTATCCACAATCCTTCCCTCCTCCCTGCCACACAAGCTTCTCTAGGAAGATATTGAATGCTTACTTGCTTTCTTCATCCAGAAGATAGAAGAGGCCAGTGGGCTTCTTGCTGATTAAGTGAATGCAGGCCACGTTATCAGTGTAGTCAATATTGTGCCAACTGATCCCTTCACTCTTATACTCCTCCTGTGTAGCTCAAGAAAATTTCCTCGTCAGTACAAGGTCCGGGCCTTTAGCGTGCTGCAGTCTAACTGCTTAAAAGACATTCTGGAATAGCCTAAGTTGAGTTTGTTAGTTTAGGCCACAGAAGCATAAATATGGAAAATTTATAAATAAGAACAGAACAGCAGGCACATTCGCTCTGAGGAGAGGTCCACCTAGACACATCACTCCACAGCAGATGTTTTGGCTAAACTGTTTATAAACCAAAACAAGGAGAATAATCCTTTCCCTGTTGTGCCTTTCTAATAATCTGTAGTCTATGTACACTTGGTWGCCAGACTGTATATCTACAACACCACATTTAAGAGCCCAAGTAGACATCTTTTCAAGGRATCTAAGCCTCTTTTTCTCTTCCATAGTCTTTATATTATAAAGAAATGACAAATATTTAAACTCTAAAATTTCCAAATTGTACTGTGAGAGGAAATAAGTTTCAAAATAGGCAGTTACATTCTACAAAATATCAATGCAGAAACTTCCCCAGGAAGTAATGCTTATTGCTTAGGTTCTGAAAGTATAGCGCTCTCTGATAAAGTGTACAGAGGTCTTGTGTTGAAATGACAGTGCATCTAACAGCTTGACAGGAAACGCTTCACATCAAGATATGCAACTAAAATACCAGTTTCTCTTAAGRTTGCAAATGTCCAAGGAAAAAGCTAAAGATAAGCTAAAAACTTAAAATATATATATATACATATCTAAAAAAACTATCTAAAAAGAGAGAATTAACTGAACTAAGTTTTATATTTAGCAAAAGAAGAAAAAAACTCCCATATTGCTCTATAACAATGATGATAAGAATGGGTTATTTTTAAGTTGATCAGTTAAATCCATTTAACTTATGGTTATGATGGTGATCATACCACACTACAGAATTGAACTACCATTTTTACCAAACAATAAAGTCCTTCTTTAAAAGACATACAGAATCCCCCCGAGGGCTCTCATGCAGAAAGAGATACAGGAAATGGGCTATTCAAGGATTAAGCTTATTTGGAAAAATAGCCTTAGAAAAAGAAAACAATATAACTATTTAYTCTGGTTAGGCTGGAGAGTCACTTGTATCTTGAGTTATAAAACAGGGAGCTCAACACAATGTTTACATGTGWATTTGTAATGTTTGGTAATTTTCTTCTCTTTATAAAGCTTGTTTGAAGTTATCTACTTATGGTTTGACAAAATACTGCAAAATGAGAGCTTCTTTTCAGGAGAATAATCAGGGGATTAATTTTTGGAACAAACTAGAAACCAAATTCCAGTCAAAAAAAACCCCATTGCTCTAGAAACAGGCTCTTTAGCTCTCAAGCACTCTGCAAGAAGATGATACTATCTGCAAGCCAGCATATCAGAAAGGGCAGGAATAGCAGAATATTAGAGCTCCTGCTAAGACAAGCACACAGCTGTATCCCTCTGAATGAAGGCAGGTGGAAGCAGCAAAAAAGTGTGTCTATTAAATATTTACTAACTGACGAAAATAAGAATAATCATGTCCCAACACATCTAAAAAACCCCAAACCAAATGCCTCACCTACAGACTTTCAATCTCCAAGTTTGCAATTTCATCTCCCTGATGCCTGGGGTTCCCTGAATATCTTTTTGGTTGTTGCAGTCAAATAGAAATTAACTGCCAACTCTCTAAATAAAGAACTAGCTATTATTAGTATAAGTGGAGGGCTAAAAACAACAAAATTGCCACCTTCAAACACCACCATAACAAGCTACATGAAAGCAAAAAATTGAGAAGACTTTTGGAGATAAACTCAAGCAATTCTGTGAGGTTTGCAGAAAGGCGATTCTAAGGTTGGGTAACAGATATGCCCATGATAAATACAAATTTTTATTTGGGCACCTCTAATTTCTTACCTGTTCCAATTTGAAAATGTGCTGATTGAAATAATACTGCAGCTGCTCATTTGCATAGTTGATGCAAAACTGTTCAAAACTGTTGGTTTCAAAGTCTTCAAATCCAAAAATATCAAGCACGCCAATGGACAAACACTAAAGGAAGAGGATGAGGAAATCCCATTACACAATCGATCATACAGTTACCTAATCTGCAACAGCTAACCATTACAAAAAGCACTGCAGCATACACTAACAGATTTCAAATATTTAACAGTTACATCTATTGTGAAAATGAGTGATTTAGTATTAGTAAGAAATTTAATATCGACTTCAAAAGGAATAAAATTTAGGCCAGCTGTCTGAACATGTCATCTGTAGCTCTCTTTGATAGCTCAAAATATGCAACTGTGTACAAAGACTTGTTTTAGWGAAGAACTTACTGTAACAGATTCCTCCATGTCCTTCTTATTAAGGAGCGCATGATTAATTCGCAGAACAATCCAGTCAAACAGAGCACTGTACAAGGACTTTGCCATTGAATCACGAGCTGTGATTGCCTGCAGATGAAACAAAGCTCATAACATACTTCTAAAACGCTTCTATTTCAGACTAGTGTAACTCAAAGACTAGTGTCACATGGAATTTCGACATACATTCCAGTATACTTCATTAGTGAAAACCTTATTGCTATGCTACCGAAATTGGACATTTTGAAGTTACAGCAAAATTTCATATAGGACTTTTTTCTGGATCTGTAATTTTTGTAACTATTTTTTTCCCCCCCAAGTCTCAGAACAATCAGCAGGATAACATTAAAATAATTCTAGCGTTTTTTCACACTCACCTCATTGAGACTATATGGCAAAATAAGCTTATCATTTGCTGTCACYGTTTTTCTTTTAGTCAGCACTTCCACTAAAATCTCTCGCTTGACCTTCAAAACAAGCGAGAACAAGAGTTAATGCTACCTAGTAACTACTAAGTGATTACTCTGATGGCAGCAGAGGACACTACCACTCCAAAAAACGTCAAGCACATTGACAACAGTTTCAGTTATCACTCAGCTATAACTTCATCAGCTCTCAGCTTTAAATTATTCTCCGCTTACATTCATTCAGTTCATTAGGCAACAAGACTTACTTACATACTATGGTTTATACTCCCTCCTTTTCCATCCCTAACCTCAGTAACTTCACCAGTCCCATCCACTTCCTCTCTTGTAAGATAAAAACTGCAGGGGTATCTTAAACTAAATTTAGTTGTAGCAAACTTGCGCAACACATGTAAATTCCTGATATTCAGCATGACAAGAAGTTGTTTTAAACATTAGTGCTAAAGAGAAATACTCTACTTTTAAAAGCTGGGAAAGAATGTCCAACACTTCAGGAGGTCCAACGTCCAACCCTTCATCACGACCCGTAGCTTTYTTCTTGTAAGTAACGTTGCCCAAATAAAGAATAGCCGAAAGCACAGAAAATATCCTAAGGGAGGAAAAAAGGAGATCTTAACATCATATAACATCAAAAGCATCATAACAGGTCAACAGATCTTCAGGAAACAGAAAACAGTGTCCACAGACACTCTAAAAACTCATTCAACTCTCCCCACCTGTAGTGGGTTACATGTGACTAAGATGCTGTATGATCCATACTGTCTAGCACTTCGTGATCATTAACTAGTTGTCTGTAAGAAAGGCTAACAGGTTTGTACTTACTGCTTCTTTGTTGCTGAAAGAAAGCCAACCATCTCCATGGCTTGTTTTAATCTTTCGAAGTCATGCCGGAGATCGTCCTCATCTTCAATTTTCAAGTTATGCTGTGACAAGAGGCCCATAATCAAAGACAAAATCCCTCAAAATATCACAAGAACAAGTACAACCTGTTCTGTTTTCTTTGATCTCTAACACAACATCAGATGAGAACAGTTATCAATTCATTTGAATCTCTACCATAGATTACCTGGTTGAGGTAGAAATAATCTTCGGGTTGTTTAAGGTGAAATTCTTTACGCTCTTCCTCATTGACTCCAAGCAGTAAATAATAAAATACATGGTAGTTCCTACAAAGTCAAATACATTTCTCTTTCAGGAATATATAAGGATTTTTCTTTCATTCTATATACTTTAAATACTTTTAGACTCTCGCATCAATTACACATGTAGGGCAGCAAGTTAATAATAAAGAAATTATTTGTTCTTAAAGCAGCATATATAACCATATATTTTTAACTGTATGCAGATAAGCATGCATACCAATTCTGCAGGAGGTGAAACATGTCCGCAAGCTCAGGACTAGTCTCTTACCTTTCGTCTTTTTCTTGAGAAACCAGGCGAGATTTTTCCAGAAGGTATTTTTCAACAACAGCCCTGAAGTGCCCCAAATAAGAAAAAAACACAAAAATGAGGTTGAATAAAAAGACCTCTCACAGCATTAGATAACAATTCCCAGAGAGTAAGAGAGTTCAACTAATGAGATCTGCACTAAAATATATAGGAGAATGGCTYAGTTACTAACTCTACACTAAAATAGAAAACTCATATGGTCTATATTTTATTTGAGATAGTGAAAAAAAACCCAGAATAATCTATCTTGCTTGATTTTAGCAGACATAACTATAAAGAGGTAGTTTAAGCTGAGAAAAGCACCAATACAAAATTATATGCAGAAACAAAATACGTAAAGTGCTAACCATCTGTTACCCACTCCAGAGCTAATAGTTAGATAACTATTAATCCCTGCCAGATGGCAAGGAATACAGAGACTGCAAGTCCTTCCCACATTATATTGAACAACTGCTGCTTCTGATGCTAACAAATTTGATAGATTTTCATCTACGTCAAGTAAGTTATTCACTKGAAGTGAAAGGGCCTACTCCTATGTAAGAGAAAAACATGATTATGTGGATTAATAATACTGAAAGCACATGCACAGTGACAAGCTATATACACACAAGAAGTACCTCCTTAAGGTAGTACTTTATACAGAATATAAGTCTGCATCAGTTCCCAAAAGCACATAGCTCAAACCTAGAAAAAAACCTCCTACCGTACTTACCCTCGGACAATACCATTCTCTAAATAGTTGACTTGAATAAATTTTCCGAAACGACTGGAGTTATTGTTATGGGCTGTTTTTGCATTTCCAAAGGCCTGTAATAAAAGAAAAGGAGTTAACTTGCAATTAAACTGAACAAGTCAGTACGGAGCTTTTCATAATCTTCTGTTCATTGTCGAGTACACTCTTAGGTGGCACCACATGCCCAAAATATTACGGAATGGCAGCATGCAGATACCAAAGGAGCTTAGGAAGCCTCCACTGGTTGTCACAGAGCAACACACYTTTATTATCTGTTCCTCTATTAGTATTTGGTAGCCTGAGGAAGGGGAATAAACTTCATTAGTTATTTCTAAGTGTACTAAAAGGAAAAGACTGCTAGAGAGCTCAAATCAATCTCAACCATTATCAATTATGAACTTAAAGAGGACATTTGGTAGGTGGAACACAGTATAATTACTATGAAATTGCTTCTCCCAGGGTAATAAAGCCACAAACTATGTCTTGAGAATTAGTTACCAGCAATAACTGTAACTTTATCAACTCTTAACTATGGTTCCTTAGTGCAAGAGAGACCCGTCCATCTGTTAACATATGGAAGGTGATCAGTGTATGAAGAAGCAGCCCAGAGTGGAATGCAACTGTTTAGAGAAAKAACCACTCAGCATGAAACATCACCAGCAATTCCTGCCACAGATATTTCCTCCTCGAGCTCCCCAGCACTTGAGGCCTCCCATAGGAAATCCRTCTCGCCTAATATAGAACAAATTCATGGAATGGTTTCCCAGAGAACGCCACCCTCTTCCTCCACACAAACACACAACGATGCACCCACGAGCACTGTATGAAACAGAAGTAAACTGTTTCTAAATTAAATTGTCCAATCATGGTACAACTATGTTTTAATGCAAACATTATAACACGGTCCCACTCTGATTTCTCAGACAGGACATGATGATCAGAGGCACCAGCATCATTTTTCATCAACTACCCAAGACAGTTACTACTTTTGGTAGGTAGTATCTCAACRAAAACTATTTTTCCATTTCCATTTTTCTATTTTCCAAAGAAAAAAACAAWCATTTTTCTTTCAGAGGCCACTTTTTGTAAGCAGCCTATCAGTGTTTTTTATATGGTCTTGCTCAAAACCTTTTGTGATATCAAACCAAAAGCAGAAGCCCTGTAACATCAAGGCAATAACCGACCTGCTTTGCAAGTCAGAAGTCTATTCTCAGCTGTGGCTCTCCAAAGAAAACCATCTAGTTTTTCATTTAGCATTTCAAAATCTGTCACAGGAAAGCTCTGCCCAATCATGGAGTGGCAAACTTGTGAATTTATTCTGCAAGAATTTCTTCTCAAAGAGTTTTCTAACTAAAGAGTACTAGTCTACCAGTTATGAGAGCAACCAAGACGMACTATGAAAGAAAACAATAATTTAATTGCATTTGCTAAATTGTTTCTTTAAAAAATATGTATTTTAGCATCACGGAGTTCAGAAATCCCACAACTCTAGCTTCCTGAAAAGCTTTTCTTGGTGCTTATTCATGTAAGCAGTGAATACAGTTCAAAACTATTAATGGCTGATATGATCTCATATGTCTGGTATTTAGTCAAAGCATACAGCGAATTCTCAAAAGCTGGTCTAATATTACCACTTTTGGGGAAGTTTTCATATATTTAATCATTTTCTCATAAAGGTTGTTAAGAGCTACAATTTTTTAAAGAACATTCCAAGTTGCTTGGCATTTTAGGTTTTTTTTTCCCTCTTAATATTTGAATTTAGACTCAAATTCCATGCACTGCTACCAAAGCCTTCTGTATACTTTGAAGTTAAGTTTAAAAAAACAAAACAAAAAAGAATGACATTATTGCAGAAGGTCATAAAAGGGGAAAGAATTGAAATGAGACTCTCAAATTTAACTCTTTCATTAGACTTGCCAAAAGTCTGAAAATCTGTCAAGAATTTTCTATCTAAACCTAACACTCTAATCCATGGCAGGACAAGGTAATTTTCCCAAGAGATTTCCCAAGCAAACGAGTGGAAAAAGGAAGTTCCATTCCTTCTCTGAATATGATTCTTAAAACAAACACACGACAATAATAGCCTCCAAACTACTACATTACCTTAAATAGAACTGACTACACCCACTAAATATATATGCAGAGACTTTTATGGCAAATACAACTGAAAACCAGAGTCAAAGCATCACTTGATTTAATTCCATCTCATGCCAAAACTACATGCACAACTGGGCTGTACTTAAGAAAACAGAACTGACAGASAGTGGATTTACTGCTTTCTATAGAATATAGAACATAAAAGTTTGTTTTCTACAATGAAATTTAGCAAGCTCTGAAGCCTGAGTTCCAGAAAATCTCATTACCTCAACTTTACTTATTTCCTATTTACAACAGCCTCCTCTATATCACTTAATGAACATTCCCTGTTGGACTTTCCATTTTATTTGGACCTTAATTCTTCCCAAAGAACGGCTCAGTACTATTACTAAACCTCCAGGAACACGTCCAAATGGAAATAAAAGGTGCTTTTTAAATTACCATGAGAAAAAAGTTATGACAACACTAATACATCTGCCCATCCGCCTCTTTCCTTTATCTTCTGTAGGGGTTGATTTTTAGTTAAATTATCAAAAATCAAGCATTCATACCTATTATGTTAAATAAACTTATCAACATTTTTAAAAATCCATGCTTTATGTTAATGTTCGGTCTTCAAAGTAAGTCTTAGATGGTGCACTATATATTTTATATCCAAAACACACACAGTCAGGCATTTTTTTCCCCCCTGTGAAAGGAAACTACAAATTTCTTGGAAACTTCCTAAGCATTTATGGAAAASATTAATTAACAAACTCTAGAAAATAAATAATGGTTTGATTCACTATTCCCAACCCGACCCGTATAATAGCTCCCAAATGTGCATTCTTGGGACTTCAACCATAAGTAAGCTGAACTTAAGAGCAGAAGGCAAAACTCCTCTTATAGAATTATATTTTAAATACTAAATTTAGAAGAGGATGAAAAAGTCASGGGTATCTTAAAACAGAACCCATCTTTATTTTCCTGACAAATCTTAGCACTTCACTAGAGACAATCCATTGTATCCCAGAGAAACCTAAATCTGCTTCCATCTACACTACCAGCACTCACCTCATCTGCGCTAGAAATACTTGAACTTTTATAGAAGGTCAGCCTATAAACAGCTGCCTTTAATGTAAGTGTCAGGAAAATAAGAGGTCACTAAAAAGCGGAAGTTCGGAGACAGACTAACAGCTTTTACATCAGAAGAATCTGACTCTCTTTACTCAAAGGCCATATTTTCATTCGGGGAAAGTACTTCAGAAGACTTAAAACTTCAAAATKAAACAGAACATTCTCAAATTATTTAGGTACACTTCAAAACTGTTCAGGCCCCCAAAAAATCCCCCAAAACACCCGTTAAAGAGAAATTTCCTTCTTGTTCTTCAGTTCCCTTGAGTAAAAACCCACATGAGTCACCATAATTTGACTGAAAAAGTGACCAACATTAAAACAATGGTTTCGTTTGTTAACAGGTTCAGATTCCTCAAAATGGATAAACTTTCATCATATTCTTCTCCGAGATGAAGGTTTGACTTGATTTTTTAAAAAAACTGCACTTAACTGGAACTRCACAGGAACATCCATGCTAGGAACCCTGAGAACTTCAATGCAGACTGACTCTGCTCTGCAGTGAGGCATGCAGAATAGTTTGATTTTACTTTTCCATAGTCTAAATCCACTGCAGCATCATTTTTTTGATGCAAATTGAAGTTACAGGAATAYAGAGGTCATGATTTCTACCCCTATTACCTTAGCAGAGAGTTGTACCATAATCACAAGCACCCATTAGCTTCCTTTAGCCCTCCCTAGTCTCAACTCAGCCTCAATCAGTTTCAAAAAGGATTCTTTCTCCTTAACGTCAAGTCAATGGGTAATACTTTTCATACAAAAACACACGTTCAGATCCAAAAGTAACTTTAGGATATATATGCTCTATATTTTGGTAATTAATTATCACAAAATTCTCCATTTTCCCAAGTCTGAAGCAATTTCACATTGAATCAACAACACAGAACAAGAAGTTTCTCTGAGAATTTCAGGAGTTTCACATTTTAGATAATATGTCCTCTAATATCAGTGTTATAATTTGTCAAATTTGCAAACTAAGCTTTCAATTGCTCAGCAGAATTCTAGCTAGCAAGACTATTTCCACATGAAATGCACACTCAATTGCTCAATCGAAGTCTGACAAGCTGCAGCACATGCGTCGACCAACCTTCCTGTAGAAAACCTCACATCTTCTCACGCACTTTGGCAAACTTAAGCAATATTTACCTGCGACATCTGCAAATTTGAGTTTTATTTTTTAATGTACATGCCCGAAAGCAACAAGATTTTAGCTCCTTTGCCCCATATGACCTGTAACTCCTGCAGATTAGGGCCYGAAACAGTTAACTGTCTCAAATACAGAAAGATCAGCTGATCAGACAGTGCTTTCCGCAGTGACCCCTTCCTGTTTTGTATTAAGAACAGCAAACTTGAGCTCCAGCAACCAGCAAACCTCAAACATTCTACTTCTGCTTTCAAGCAGAAGAAAGAAAGGCAAAAGGGAACTTGCATATATTCCTCATCCTTTAAAGAAAAGCTTTCAAATCCCATCTATAAATACAGCACAATTTTAGGTTTAACTTTATTGCTTTTTCATGGGGTTTAGCTACAAAAAAAAGCTAAATTATTAAGAAAGAAAGAAAAAAATAATGAACAATGAAACTGTTATTACATTTGAGCATGCATAAATCCAAAGGCTGTGCTTGAACTCATTGCCACTGAAGATTTTATTGCTAGGGACCATTACACCCAGCAAAGATTTCAAAGTTTTTCCTTTTGGATCAGAGTAAAACCGAAAAGCTGCAGTCTACAAGTTCGCTTTAAGTTTATCTTGCTGCTACCTTAGGCAAGACCAGTTGAACCCTTTTCCCTAGTGGTTAGTTTTGCTTTCTGTTGGAAAAACAGCCCAAACTGACTCACAGTTTCTCCCCAACTAAAAACATGCTTTTCAAAGAAAATGTATCAAGAAAATAATTTGCTTGAAAGTTAGTTCTTCCTTTGAAAAGTTAGTTTGTTAAAAAAAAAAAAAGCTACAGGGACAGGCTTATATACAACAGCATAATGACACTAAGCAGTTAATATTGCAGAGGAACAATTTATTTGTGAAATCATTTACTTATAATTTCAGCTTGAYTCAGACGCCATCAGAACTTGGGAGAAAGAGGGAGAACAAAAATACCCTCTRTCCCAGAATATTAGCATCTATTTGTGGAAAGTTAAGACAAATATCAATGAAAAGTGACAGGAAGTCAACTGCAAAGAAGTATGATTAAGGAACATCAATTAGAAGGAGTCCCACAACAGAGCCAAACACTGATGCAGCCCAGAGATATCTGAAGTCTAAGCCAAGCAGGTGACTCAATAAATAAATAAACAAATAAATAAATTGTATTCAACAGCAGCTATTGAAAAGTTTCTAGAAGCAGTTTTCAGAAAAGGTAATTTTAGCTACATTTACCTCCAGAACTGGTCCAGCTCCAAGAATTGTTCTCTCCACACCACTTGCGTACCCTTTCTGACTCAGTGCTGTGAGGCAGTGAATTAAGAAGTTTGTGCTTTGAGTTTTTCCAGACCCACTTTCACCTGATATAACTATGCACTGATTGACGTGTTTTTTAAGCATTGTGTGATAAGCCACATCAGCAATGGCAAAAATATGAGGCTCCAACTTCCCAAGCTGATGATTTTCATACATCTTGACGTATTTAGGATTATAAATGGGCAGGAATTTGAAGGGGTTAATTGCAATCAAAATACTTCCTGCGTAAGTATAAATTTTGTGTTTTAGAAAGCGGCATTTGAGATTTTCAAGGAGCGTTGTCTCTGTTAAGTTGGGAAGATTGCACAAGTCATCAAAGTCCTCCTGATGCCAGGGAAGAAATCCCCGCTCCACCAAGCGCCGAGCATCTGTCTCCTTGGACAGCAGCTGCATCTGCACATATTTGATAGTCCCATCAGTGTTCCTTTCTTGCAAAAGAAAGTAGTACCCATCCTTTTGAGGATGCTCATCCTGAGCACGACGAGGCCAAAGTAAAACCCTATGAACAGGAGAATCGTTTATATCAAGTACCCATTCTTCACCACCTGCTTCTTTCACCTCCACGAGAACATAATGTTTGGAGACATCCAGGTTTAAGATATTGATSACATCCTTGATGACATCTGACGACGTGCTGTCCTTGGTTGCTGTTACTTTGCAGCAGGGAGCACTTTCTGTTGAGAGCTGGGGGTAAATATGAAGATTATAGGCTGCCTTTGTCTGGCAAACTGCACTGTCGGCATCTTTTAAACTCATTCTGCCCCCAAATGGGCTTCAGTCTTACACTCCTGCTTAATATGGAGTGCCCATTGTCTGAAAAATAAAATAGAGAAAATAAGAAAAAAAGTCAAGCATTAGAAAAAACAGTGTATAAGAAGCATCAGGGCTAAGTATCTTTTTCTGAAACTGATAAAATTGTTACACGAGGAAATTACTAACAAAAACAACTAATGTGCAGAAGCAGTACCTAATTTTTATTTCTGCACATCAGTGAAGTTGTTTCAAACAGTCTGTTTAGTCAATCCCACTGACTGAATAGCTGTTATAACATCTCACTTCTTTCCACTTCGCTTCTATTCCCATTAGTCATCCCCCTTCTCCCTCTTACAGCAACAAGAGCATTCACATAGGCATGAAGTGAACTTAACTAGAATAGAGATACAGATTAAAATCCTGTTTCCCTAGGGTAACCTAACCCGGGTAACCTAACCTAGGTTAAGGCTGACCTGGTTCACGCTGTGGCTGTACAAACRTTTATTCCCTGCCCTCCCGCACAAATCATCCTTGGAAGCTACACAAACAACTTGATATTGAACTAGTGTTTGGTGAATTCTGAAACCAGCCGTGCCAGCTCCGAGCAGCCATGCACACAGCAGGAGAAGCAGTGCGCAGATGCAAGGAAGCAGGTTCTAAGCCCATGATCCACACATTCTTAACAGTCTGTAAAACTTCATGCCCAAAATGCCATTTCAATTTTTGTCTCAGAACCAAAGTATTTTAATTGCACACTCACAAATATATACATACACATATAAAAAGCAAAGCCAGGGAACTTGCATGCTTGACACTGAACAACTGACTAGGAACTTGCATGAGGCCACAAAGAGCAATCACTTCAAATTAAAATCTGCAGATAGGTGCAAGCATTTATCCGCCACTTCCACTGCAAGTATTAACTCATTTCAGAGAAACATATGACATAGTTCTGCCTCATGAACTGCCTCAGAATGGAGAAATGTGCTTTAAGGGAACTCTGAATAGTAGGTTTTCAGAAATCATTGTTGTGCAAGCTGAATCATTTTTAGTGGCTACTCATCAAAAGGAAGGCTAAGCAAGCCACAGACAGTCAGGCAAATCATAGCAAATATCTGGTCACATTACATGTTCCCTCAGAAGATTGCTTCTTGCTCCATTTCTTTCGTTCATCATTCATAAAGAAGGCTTATTACAAGATCGTGGCAATACAGAAAGATGAAGCAGCGTGCTCAAAGGCCTCTCCATTTCTGAAGTGCCTTTGAAGGAGTTATACAAATACCAAACATTTTTGATCTACAAAAGCTCAAACACCTTGACATATTGTAGAATCAGCAATAGATCACTGCTTATGGAGAACTGATAAGAGAAAAGAAGTGATGAGAGAAGTGACTGTTTGCTTTTCACTTCATTCAGCCAAGGGAAGTAGTATAGAAGTAAGCAAAAAAAAAAAGAAAAATTAAACTGAGCTGAAGTTTGTTTAAAGATGTCTGACTTTACTTGAAATAAGCCACCCTGGCAGATTTGAAAACCACCCTGGATAATCATTTGACATGAGATTCTTGCCTAATGTAACAAGCATAAGAGTAAATGTAATTCCCAGATATATGTGAAATGAAGCTTTAGCCAGACATCCATATTACCTAGGTGTATGGCCAATACTGCCTCTAGAATATATCCAAAATTCAAGTAGGTTATGAACACCAACAAAAAAAAAAATCCGCTGGGAAATATCCACTTACAGCAAACGCTCTAGAAGCTTCATCTGTGAGAAACACACAGGGTAGACTGATACCAGCTCAAGTCCTTGCGTGAAGAACTAGAATTTGATAACCCTCAACAGTCTGAAGGACAAGGTTATAACAAAAGCTAGTAGCTGGAATTCAAAGCTAGATAAATTCAGCCTAGTGTAAGACAAACATCACAAGGTTACCCTCAAGTGCGAGATTTAACTGACATTAATGTGGGTTCCTAAAGTTCTCTTCAGAAAATTAGCCAGTCCCCACCTGCAGAGGTGTTTCCAAGTCAGAAAAGTTCATTAGGCATTACCCTCATTTATGTTAAGAGCAGACTGAACAGATGATGGCAATGATTCTTTCCAATTTTATGCTTTATAGCTACTGAGAACGTTTTTAAGCAGTTGAAATATTTACTGCTTCAATGAAGCAGAAGCCTGAATTCAGGTACARAGAGCACCTGGAAGAAAAAAAGAGAAACACAAGAACACAAGGTAATAATGAAACCACATGAGTCAGCATGCAAAGCAGCATACCCAGGAAAATATCATCCCATCACTATTGGGTTCTTTTTGTAAGAGACGGAAATTTCTACAGTTACCTCAAATTTCTTTCAAAGCTCTCTCCTGTCCAATGTACGGGACAAAATAGTTGTGCATTAAGAGAATTTAGTAAGTGGGAGACAGAAGCTGGCACTAAGCACACATCAACTAATTTTAGACTTCAGACTCCTTCCTGTTTTCCTTAAAATGAGATTTACTTTTCACAAGCCGTTAGTAGGACAAGYATACGTCTTCACGGTTTTAAGGAATGACTAACTACAGTCATCAGCATCTGCAAAACACAATTATTTCTCATCATACTCCTATTTTACAGATGCAAACACAATTTCTTTAAAAAWCTATTTTTTTGTTTTGCCCAGACAACATAAATAGAAATACAGAAGTAAAAAAAGGCAAATTTGAAATGGTAATTTTGACGGAATTTTCTAATTGCCTTCAAGTCTCTACTAAACACGTCAGTTTTCAAAGTATGCATTAAAGACAACACTTCATAACATACTAAAATTCTAGAAAAGGACTTTKCCCCCATCAATGCAGGGTATCTGTTTAGTTTAAATAAGGCCATAATTTGAGACTACATGTTTAGTCAACGAATCATGGGGAAGCTAAAAAGGGAAAGCTACCATTACAGCAAAATTGTTCAGGCAAACTTTATAACAAACTTTATGACTTTATTCCAGTTCTTCAATTTTTCTTGCACATTTTCAGGGTTGCATGAACCAATCTGAAAGCTTAAAGCTCTCAYGTTGTTCATATCTGCCTTTAGTAGAGCATTAATAAGTTCTCCTCTCTCCCTTTTTATAACAGTATTGCAGATAGATACTCATCGATTACTTCAACATTGCTTATTGTTCTGCTTATACTTCAACATTTGTCCATTGTTGTCTACTGTTCTGTTGGACTAAACCCTATGGTCCTGGTTGCCTTTTAACCAAAAGCTCTTTCCTTTTTCAAGCTCCCAAGGGGAAATTCTGAGCATTAAAAGGCACAACACGTTACTACATTTTCTAGTCATCACTGCCAGAGAAGCTAATGTTTGCCATGCCTAACCAAGACACTGGACTGCAATGCAAGTAAGACCCTGCGTTACAGGAAAATTGAAGAAATTACATTCATTACATGTAGCTCCTTCTCAGTTAACTTTATTTCCCGCAGCCCTAAGAGATCACGATCCCAATCTATCCTTTAAATGGCCTAAATGCATACCTCTACTTCCTCTTAATGACTCAGATGCACACTTTAACAGCAACAAGCCCAGGATACCTTATCAGGCTTACAGGGACATTAAAGGTCTAACAACATGTTATTACCTTAAAAGACAGTGATGTCAGAGTTACAGATGAGCATTTGAGTATGATTCAGAGGAAATGGAAATGTGGCTCCTGTGATGGAATTTGAAGAAACAGGGGGCAAAGGCAGAATAGCCAAGGGCTTTTGTGGCAAAGAGCAGAACCAAAAGAGCCTCGGGCAGTAATCTCACCACTTTTGGCGATATTCTTAATTTTATGATCAATAGCATTAACAGCTGTCAACAAAGGAAGTTAAAAATCACACTTCTCAATCACTCTGATAAGAAAGTCTCTTAAAAAACGCTAACTGCTAACTACTAACTACCTAACTACTGTATGAATAATAAAAAAAGCTCGCCAGCAACAGAACCTGCAAACATCATAAATATCTTCAAAAACACTGCTGTTAGTGAATATCATTGACCTTTGAAAAAAAGGGCCAGTTTTGCTGAACTTACCTTGAGTTTCATTTGGTAACACAAAAAAACACAATAAAGTCCATAAAAGCAAATACTTAAGCCACACTTAAATCATTTGCTACGCAAAGAAAACATGATACAACAAGAGACCAAGCCTCTGAATGTCCATTCTCTGAAATAAAAACACTGCTAAACTCTTCAGAAAACAGATAATGTATTAAAAAAAGAAAATCCTTAGAAGTATCTCAGGCACTCCTTGATATTACTCAGTTCCAAGTAATTTTGTCCTTCATGTCCTTTGTACTTCATAAAAAGGATTTACATGCATTATAAACTTAGCATGAGAGTGAAACCCCCTCTTAATACTACTCTTCTAATACAAGTTTTTAACACTTGGGGTAATATAAGCTTTTATATGGTCCCATCCACTTGCACAAAACCCTTCTAAAAGAAAAAAAAATTCACTATATTTAATAATGTAGAAATAGCGGAGCATGTTAGAAACTTCTGTTTCAATAAAATGTAGCTGCAATAGACCCAAAAACTCAAAAGTCAGAGAGGAAACGATAGGCAGAATAAGTATGTCTTGTCTCCCAGAAACTCGAGCTAATAAATCCCTTCAGCCTCCAAAATCACACACACAAAATAAAAGTATTGAACCATGGACTTTTTGTTTAATTATAAAACTCATGACTTTTTTCCCCCAACTGGTGAAATAGCTAACACTGTTGCATCTTTTAGGATTTTTTTTTTCTTTTTAAATTCCTAAGATATGAGAACTACGATTCTTGTCCATCCAGCTACGGAAAGGCCATATTTAGCCTAAGCAATACCGGACTATGTGCATATGAGTCAAACAGTTATTCACACACAGGATTATTCAGTAAGTCTAATGTTTGAATCATTGTTTGTCTGAAAACTGTCTGCATGAAGTTTTACTTACTAGATGTACCTCACTTAAATTTTGCCATCTATACTTACTCTAAATTATTCCACTAACATTTTATGTTCCACAGAAAATCTTATAAATCCTCCTACTCTGATTAGAATATCCTTTTCCATAGACAGCTGTCCTGACTCTGCACAAACTACAGTCCTCACTACTGAAAAAGCTTTTTGTTAAGACAAATATTCGCGTCTGGCAAGCACAAAAACAAGAGTTCAGTTCTATAAAAGCAGGTCTAACATGTTACTGTAGCATCTTTCAAGCTTGATGTTTATAAGTCAACACCAGCAATGAAGTAAACATCAGCCTAAGAAACACCATCCTCACAAGAAAAGAAGCTGTTACTGTACCTTATTTCTACACCAGATTAAGAATCTCATTGTTATGGCACCATTTATGAAGCTCAAAGTTGAATACATTCCAAAAGAACTCTTCTTAGAGGATAGCTACAGTGAATCTTGAAGCTTACATGAACACGTATTTACATCGGAAGTTCTTCCTGTTGTTTTCCCTACGTTTTCTCTCCCAGACCTTGTCAGGAAAAGTTCTGACAAGACGCATAGTTAAAGGCACCACAGGCTGACTAAAATTGGAAGGGTGTGACACCAGTATATTAAACTGGAATGCAGGGTTACCTCACATTGTTACTTTAGGGCAAGTACTTCAGTCATGAGCTCCGGCTAACAGACCTGAAATCAGAGGTCTCCTAACTACCTATGACAAGGTCTTATCTGCAAATAGCCGGGTAGACAAACTGATACCAATCCACCTTAAGGAGTAACGTGGGAGGATGCTGATGACATCTCTGAAAGGATAATTACATCTGCCAGAAGCCTGAGATCATCTCCAGACCTCCGCGACACTGCCACCCATCCAGAAGCTGAAATTAAGGAACATTTGAACCTGTTTGGACACAAAGGACTTCTCACTTTCACAAAGAACTTACAAACAAAGCTGTTGGAGAATTCTACCACATATTTACAAAGTGAAAAAAAAAAGACTAATAAGAATGTTAGAAAGATATTTAGGCTCATGCTAGGATGACCTRTAAGTTTATCAGCTGCACTGTCACWAACGCTGYTGAACAGAAAAGAACCCTCTCATGTTTCGTCTACAAATCCGCAACAAAAAGATGCTCCCAGCTTGCACAARCTTTACATTGTTCCAAAGACTGCAAAGCTCAACTTACCCAAAAGACCAAGTGCTACCACGGCAGCAGCAGCGAGAGACACGCGCCAACAAGACAAGGTCGGCCGGCACAAAGCATGGCGTCAGCGCAGCAGCAGCAGCCCCGGGCTTTTGTCAAGCGTTGCCCCCCAAAACAGGACAAACAGACAAAAAGACACTTTTTAGGTACACAGGGTGGGGGAAGCCTGCAAGGGGCCCTTGCGGCCGCCTCAGGGGGATGAAGGGGACGGTCGCACCAGGGCTGTGAGGTACCCGCACAGCGCCGCGCTCTGCCCCCTGCCTGAGGGAATCGGTCGACGCGACCACCCGCTCCGCGAGCCCCGGCCGCCTCTGCGGCGCCCCCCGCCC